AATAGAAAATAAATAGAAATAGAAATTACAATAAATAGAAAAAGTATGTGACCATCGTTTCTAGCACTTCATCATAAGTCGATTTAACGTTTGCCTTGACAAAAAAATGCAAAATTTATTTAAATGTTTAATAATTAAGTGCTTAAAAATTGTTTTTAACAATAACAAGAATAGACGGTACATATTTCTTAAAAAAGGAAAATTGTGAAAAAATTCTGATATAATATAAATGAATATTATTACGGAATTGCTATGAAAAATTAAAAAGAATTATTATAAAATCTGTCTGATAAGATTGTGTTTCGTTGCACATTTAATAAAAAAAAATCGCGTTTTCTGTTGAAAATTTGACAAGAATTAGTAAGAAAATTTGCAATTTTCATCGAATTTTAATGACCCAAATATTCTTATCCCCCCCCCAAAAAAGAAATAAGTTAAAAAAATTAAAAATTAAATAAAAACTAAATTTTAAAAAAATTACTAGCGTATTTTAAAAATAAAGAATAAATATTATTCTGTATTCAAAACCGTTTTGTTTAATTAAAAATCATATATACATAAAAAAATATTATAGTATTAAATCAAAAATTTTCAGTGGCTCCTTAAAAGCGGGAAATTTTGTAAAATTGTAACTTTTGGCTCTTTCATTTCAAAAGGTTGCCGACCCCTGTGCTAGTATACCATACTTAATACCAACTTTGTAAAGGGCTCAACACGACTTAACTGCAGAGCTGCCAACTTGATCTCCTTTAAGAAATATTTTCTAGTGGTAAAGAAAACCAAGTTATTTTTAGTTCAGTGTTTTTCATTTTATATAATTTTTCCGCCACTACATATCAAAAATTCATAATATCATATGGAATGCAACGTAATTGCAGTTATCTAGCACCCCTCAGGCTCTTATCAGGGGTAACTATAATTATTCATTAGTGTTTATTTTCTCATTGTACTTGAATTTTACCTTTTTTTATGTACTTTTTTATTACCTGTAATTTTGTTATTACCTAATAATGGCAAATTGCCATTTTTATTTCTTTCACGAACTCCATTTTGAGCCCCAAACTTTATTTTTGTCATGTGTGTTTCTTAGTCTAATTTCAGGATGAATGGGAAAAGGGCCATAATTGGCTCAGACGCCCAGTTCCACAACAACGAACGAGCAGTTATCTAGTGGTTACTCTTACAGGATCTCCACGGACCTTGTAAATTGTAAAAAGTGGTATCAAAAATAAAACAAGTGTCTATAATATAATTTCTGTGCAACCACCACTAAAAGTTGTTTTCCAAAGAAAGTATAAATGCATGAAAAATCAAACTTTTAAACCACTTAACGTTAAAGTAGTATATTAAAATAAGAAATATCGTCTAAATTTAACCTTAATTTACTAACACTGCTATATCCTTCAAGGACCGTGGGAACCCTGCCTTAAAAAGAGTGGGCGAAGTAATCTTTATGTTACAAGTTTTACTTGTAGCCTCTCTCTCTCTCTCTCTCTCTCTTTAAAAATGTTGGCAAAATTACCAAAAACTTTGAAAGTTTTGGTTATGAAAGATCTACCACTGTATAAATTATTTTACAAAAGGCGTAATATTTAGCAGGCTACACAGCAGGCTTGAAAAACAGAAATTAGTTTGACTCTAGGGCTTTCCTGTCCAAAAATTGCATTTTCTGTTGTAATGCCAACTGCTCTGTTTTCTGCAATAAAGCAATAAGCCTTTCATACAACATGATCTGTAGTATTGGAAAAACTGCGTGTGTTTAAAAATACCGAACTAATAATAGCATCAATTTCGTTACCATTAGAAAATATTCTTTTTGCAAAGTAAAGCAAATTCGTAATTATTAACGTTGCGCACTTTTAAAAAAAATGAAATTTTTTAATTATTAAAAAATACTGGTCGACACGAATTCCGCATTACGCTTGCACCGACCAGTGCTGACGTAAAATATCCTCAGTGGTAGACGGATCATGGGTTCGAGTCTCCTAGCACCTTGGGTAACTGAGCAAGGTTTTCATGGTTTTCCTCTCCATGTAACTCAAGTGCGTGTCAGTTCCATCAAAAAGACCTCCACGAAGACAAAATTCTTCCTGTACTTAATCTAGAAGTTCCTTCGTCTTCTAGATTGAGTTCAAAACTGCAAGACTACGGAGTTGAACATTAGTAGTTGTGAACCCGAAAGATTCTGTCGGCTGTTCAACGGCTGTTCTAAAATGAAATAAAATCTGGCAAGATACTGACAAGTGCGGTATTAGACAGTACTTTCTATGTGAAGCGACATACGTAAGCTTTTTAATTTTTTAAAGAGTAGTGATTGCTATATGTTTAAAAGTAAGTAGTTTTAAATTTCTAGCAGTTTGTTATATTTGTAGAATAAATGCTGATGAAAGGAATGAAATCTGTTTTGTTTCTACAGGTTTCAAATAGGCTAAAGTTTTATTTCAATAAATATGAAACTGCAACAACAAAATATTTCACACATTTTGAGGTTAGAATTTATAAGCTTGTGTTATTTTATATTGTCCTGATACTTTTCAGGCTTGAGACTTCTGAAATAACTGGGAAATATTAAACTTATTTCGTGTCACAAAAGATATTTCGACGATAAAAATAATTTTCAAGAACTTTAACAAACTGTTTTTATTGCATTGAAATTAAATGGGAGTTTCAAAATATTACAAAGCAATAAATAAAGTATACAGTTCTTATCCACGGCGAGCATGGAGAGTTTGTACATCTTCAGCATCGTTATTGTGGGCTCCAGCAATGCTAAGTATTTGGTCACCCAATTCTTTGATCTCTGAAATTATAAACAACACATATATATTATTACTCTTAAAAATTTAAAAAAAATATCTATTGATATATGTCATATAATCATCGAATATTTAATAATACTGCACTCATTATTCATAAGTAAACAGCATTTAAATTATAAATTTAGTCAAAAATTTTGCAAAAATTCCTGAAGTTTAAAAATTCGAATAAAGAGTTCATATTAATCCTCAACGATATGACAATATGATGAAATGTGACAATGACCAGTAGATGAACGCAAAGTTGCCGACTTGTACTGCTGTTGAGAAATAATTTTCTTAGTGGTAGCAAATTAGCGTTTAGGCGTATTAAATCTTGAAATTTCAAAAAAAATTTAAACTACCCCAACGAATCAATAATTTTAAAAAATATGTAGATAAGATCTATTCGTTGTCTCGTATGATTATAGATATCTTAATAGTTTTGTTTTCAAAAAATTCTTCCAAACCTAATAGCGGTAAAAAAAAATAATTAATTTGAAATTGTGCTAAAACTTATCAATTAAATTTATTAAAATATCAGAAAACAAAAATTTCTGAAACTTCAAACAAATTTTTAAAATATTCGTCACCAATTTTAAAATATTTCCCTATCGTGGCCACCTAAAATTAAACATCTTCTTAGCGAATTTGAAGCCTTAAATATTTGCTTATTTCTTTATAAAAAGGTTTCCTTGTTAATTTTTTTTAAAAATATTATTGTTATTTTATTGTATTTATGCAATAAAAACTATTCTTAGGGGAAATATTTTATCAATATTATTACTACCCCTTTAAACACCGAGTACTTTTAAACGAAGTTTGATCTAATTACCAGCTCTATAGCATTTAAAGTACACTATATTATTATACAATTTTGAAATTCCTAAAATAATGTGGTTACTAATAATTAAAATATAAAAATTTCTTAATTTTGAAGTGGTAAATGTTGATGGTGCCTCAGTGAGGACATCGGCGTGCAAAGGGTTAAATTACATGGGTTTTTTTCGAGTTAAAAATTTAAAGTAGAAATTAAATTATACTTCAAAAGGCTACATGGCATTTATACTTACGTCCTAAAATTCCCAATTGTGGATCTATAAAAAAAATTATAAAATACAATATCATTTAATATGTCATAATAATAATAATAATGTGTTCATAAATTAAGAAATTTTCTTACTTCCCATCGCTGGGGCTGTAATGAAAAAATAATTATAGGTTAGACAAGATAAAAATGCTCATTTAAAATGTATATTATATTACTGTCGTTCAACAGACGACCCAATTTAAGGTCTAAATAACGTTCAACTCCGTAGCCTTGTAGTTTTGAATACAATTCATAAGACAAGGGAACTCCTGGATCAAGTATTGGGAGAAACTCGCTTCGTGGAGGACTTTTTGATGGAACTAACCTGCATTTGCGTTAGGTCACTGAAACTGTCACTAAGGAAAGACACTAAAACCTTCCACTGGTAGGCTGACGGTAAAGAGACTCTAACTCATGAGCCGTCTATCACTGAGGATATTTTATGTCAGCACAGTGATCGGTGCGATCCGGGTGCGGAATTCGAATAGACCAGTTATCGTTGGGATCGAAAGCGGATTACCTCATTGTTATGCGAGAGCTCTATCTTCTGAGTCTCCACAGCTCGAAGTATATATTTAAAAGAAAAATATATATGGACAAAAATCATTACTTTTCTTATTGTTTGTTTGCATTAGAATTACAGCAGGCTTGCGTAACATACGGTTCACGGGTAGAATGCGGCCCACCAGCACTTATTTGTGGCCCGCGAAGTCCATGTGTAAATCTTATTAATATTTTGTTCTTTAATGCACTTTTTTAAAAATAGATTTTGTTTTTACAATTCAGCGTTCCTTATTAAATTCTTGAATGATTTATTATTTCATTTTTTTAGTATTCTAACATTATTCATTGTTTTGTTTTTTTTTGTTCCTGGCCTATTTTAGGTATTCCTGTCCTATAGCAGTTTATATGGTAGAGTAATAAAGTGGCCGGAATAAAGTGGTAGTATATTGATTAATCTATTTTTTAACTATTGTGTCTTTGTTAAAAGCACTTTTAATAAAAAAAAAGTGATTTTTAATTCCAAATATGTAATTTTTAATTATAAATTACGTATATAATTTAGCAGCCAAATTAGCAATACCAAGCGCATAAAAACGGCGCATATTATGCATAATAGCATTATAAATTTTCTAAATTCTCCTCCATTAGCTCTATTGACATTAATTCTGCTTTTTTTTTAATTCAGCGTAAAAATTGAATTGAAAACATAACCTCATATTACTCAGAAAGTCAATCAATTTGTTTTTGACTTCATTTGATTTGCCAGACAAGAAATCAAAATTCATAGTTTAACATATAAAAAAGAATTTTAAATTAAGCTCATTTTAAAACTATTCAATGTTTTGCTTTTTACAATGTACTATTTTGTTTTTACTTTCAGAATTTTTAGTAACAAATTAATTTGTTGAACATTTTCGATAGCATTATAATTTTTTTTAAAGAAATAAGTTTAAGAAGAATATTGTATTCATATACATTTATAATCCAATAAAGTAAGAGTTTCACGTTCCCTCCCACCAGCCACCCTCTCCCTTTCTGTAAATTGCAATCCTTAAAGATGTTTGGAAAAGGACGTTAGCTGTTAAGGAATATATAATAAATTATATTTATAAATTAAAAAAAACTTTTTTGAAAAGGAATGTTTTTAAAGAATTTCAGGAAAAAAGTAACGATTTTTTTCGACATTCCTGTTACAAATACTTGTACTTTCCCCACGAAAAGACAAGTAAAGTACTAAATTTAAAAAGTAATCATGTACAAGCAAAAGTAGGTCCCTTTTAATTTTACTTTCGTTACAAAGTAGAGAAAGTAAAAGTATTGCCATGTAGGGTTAAGTATTTTTTTTTTCATAATAAAAATCGGCTTCTTTATTTTCTTGAAACTACTCTCTGAGTCACTCATTGTATGATAAAAACTTCAACAAAATAACAAGCCTAAACTAAGTAGTTAATTAATAGGTTATGCTAACAATTTCATAAGTAACAACATCAACCACTTAGTGGTATATTTCCAAGATTATTCTGAGAACAGGTCCAAGACACGGCATGTTTTCGAACTAAATGGAGATTTCACGGCACAAAATATACTATACCACAAAATATATCATCCATCAGTGTAGGTATACCCTACACTGATGTTTTTTTAAGGTTCAGTAACACTGTTCGGTTTACATTTGTCCGGTATACCCTACGCAAACGGTTTTCTAAGGTTTTGTGCCGCTGTCTGGTATACATTTCCCCGGCACTCCAAACTCTCCTAATCTATCCTCAGCTTATATTAAAAAATCGAATCAATATAATAATATCAACGAATAAATTAATATCCAATCAGATTTAACAAATATTTCGGGCATTCACCAAAGCGACTATGTGATTGATGACATTCACCGGTGAAAATCGACATTTTCTTGATTTCGGTCATAAACATTAAATATTACACACTGCCGGTTACTCAGGACTGCCGACTTTCTTCGCTTTTTGGAAAAATTTCTTCTAGTGATAGCTAAGTTTACGTTTTGTTTTAGCGTATGATTCTTTATTTTATGAATTTGATTTAAATATAATTTCCCCATCACTACATGCAAGGGATTCAAAAGATCATACTTAAGACCTTTGCGCGTCAATTCCCTCGCGGTGAAGCAATGTTAGCAATGTTTCACGATGTTAGAAAAATTAACAAAAATTCTGGAAGCTTTAATTTTTATTTGTCTCTATAAAGAATTTTTTTAAAAGCTCAGTAGTTGGCAGCATTGTATTATTTTAATAGCAATTTCACTTACCTAAAACTGCCAAAATGGCTATGACAACAAAGACTAAGCAAAGTTTGGAATTCATGATGCTAGTTTCGTTAACAAATGAACGTGTAACATATTTCCACTTTTAAACTCACTATTTATACCGGAATTTTTAAATTGAAAAAAAAAACATTTCTGTATTTGTTGAACATGTATAATGGTAAAATTTACAAAACAATCATAAATCTTTTTATTGATTATTCAGATCTACGTAAGGATTTTGAAAAATACATTACATAATAACTATTTTTTGCATAATGAAACTGTTTATGCATTGTATGTTTATAAAAAAACTCTAATTTTCATATTGACATTAAAATCTAGGAATTTTCGATATCCCATTCACGTTATAAATCGATATAATATGACAGCAGTTCAAATCTTAATATTTTTACGATACTTTAATAAAATGTCTAATTTCATGGGAGACTCAGATTTTATGGAAATATTTTATGTCTTTTCCATTATAAATAGAATATTTTATGTCTCGTTTTTATTTTTGATAAGATACGAGCGAAACAATTATAGATATTTTTTTCAAAACATTGAAGCCATTTTTATTTGAGGAATATTAAAATTAAACTCTTATGAAAATTTTTATGACTGTACTAAAAACAATTTTAGAGCATTTACTTATTACATTGCTTATTCGAATATTATATTTAGATTTCGTATTGTATAATCTGAGGATTGCGCTAGATTAAGAGTTACATAGAATTATGGAACTTAGTACCTGCCGCCGAAGTTGGCATAAACTGATTCGTCGGAATTAGTGAATTATGAAAACTAATGTAGATTTAATTAGAGATAGGGGGGAAGAGAGGGGGGCGAAAAAATTTGACAAGCACCCAGCTCTAATTAGTCGATTAGTTAAAATTTTTAACTAATTAGTCTAATTAGTTAAAAAAATCAATTAAATAAATCAATAAAAGCAATATATAAAAAAGAGAAAAATTATATTTCGGTAAAAATTTTCTTTAAAAAGAAATGTATCAATATAATTAATAAATTAGAATGTAAATTAGAATTAAAGAATTTCGTTCTCTTCAAATTCATATTATTTTATTTTACATTTTATAACCGTCGGCGAACAGCAGACCCAATTTTCGGGTTTACGACTACTATGTTCAACGCCGTACCTTGTAATTTTGAAACCAATACAGAAGACAAGGAAACTCCAGGATCAAGTATTGAGAGAAATAGGCTTTCGCGGAGTACTTTTGATGGAACTAACCTGCATTTGCGTTACATGGAGAAGAAGACCACGAGAACTTCTCATGGTTGGCCTAACGGCAAGGGGACACTAACCCGTGATCTGTCTACCATTGAGGATATTTCACGTCAGCACTGTGGTCGGTGCAAACCGGATGCGGAATTCGTATCGACCAGCCATCGCCGAGATCGAACCCCGGTTCACCTCATTGGAAGGCGAACGCTCTATCCCCTGCGCGACTCTTCATTGGTGGCTTATGCAAATTAATATTTACTCTTTACAATGCTTATTCAAAGTATATGTTTATATTATATAATGGAACCGTCGTTTCAAAAATATAGGGTTTACGTAATCTTCAAGCCCGTAGCCTTGCAATTTTGAACTCAATCCATAAGACAAGGGAACTCTGGATCAGGTATTGGGAGAAATTTGCTTTCGTGGAGGACTTTTTGATGGAACTAAACCTCATTTGCATGACATGGAGAGGAAAACCATGAAAACCTCCAACGGTTAGCCGATGGCAAAGGGTCTCTAACCCATGATACGTCTAAGACTGAGGATATTTTACGTCAGCTCTGTGGTTGTAGCAAGCTGGATGCGGAATTCGTATCGACCAGCTATAACTCGGAATCAAACCCGGTTCATCTCATTAGAAGGTGAGGGCTCTATCCCTTGAGCCATCACGGCTCCGGTAATATTATAGTAGTAGTCGAAGCTAGGTTAAATATAAGACGGACAGACACTGTAAAAGGTAATTTACAAATATGTGCAGTGTGCAAAATTAAACGGACGGCCCTAAGTAACTTTTGACTTAATGATTGGATCGTCACGTTCAAGTACTCAATCTTGATAGCTCGAAGGGGTGACCTGAAATTTGCTAATTAATTAGTGCCGATAGCTCAGGGGACAGAGCGTTTGCCTTCCAATGAGGTGAACCCGGGTTCGATCTCGGCGATGGCCGGTCGATACGAATTCCGCATCCGGCTTGCACCAACCACAGTGCTGATGCGAAATATCCTCAGTGGTAGACGGATCATAGGTTAGAGTCCTCTTGCCGTCAGGTTAACCGTGGGAGGTTCTCGTGGTCTTCCTCTCAATGTAATGCAAATGAGGGTTAGTTCCATCAAAAAATCCTCCACGAAGGCAAATTTCTCCCTATACCTGATCCAGGAGTTCCCTTGTCTTCTGGATTGGGATCAAAATGACAAGGCTACTGAGTTGAAGTAGTTGTAAACCCAAACATTGGGTCGGCTGTTCAACGACGGTTAAAAAATTATTATATTAAATATTACGTGAAGAGCCTGGGATAGCCTGGTTGATAGGGCAGTGGGCTTAGGTCCAAGAGGTCGTGGGTTCGATCCCCGCTCGCCGAAGACTCCCAGCGTAGTAAATGGTAACTCATGCAAGTTAAATCAGCCGAGTCGTAAAGTCCTTCATGCTCCCATTACAAATCATACCTCTGGGTATCCTGATCTAAGAGTTTACTTGTCTTCTGGATTGGTTCAAAATTACAAAGCTACGGAGTTGAACATTAATAGTCTTAAACCCAGAAACTGCTTTGTCTGTTCAACGACGGATATAAAATAAAATATTGGGTGAAGTAAAACGTTACAGTATTACTCTTGGTTGTAGTAACAAGGGTAAAATAATAGGCAATTATAAAAAAATAGTTTTTGTGTTACATCGTCTTTTGGGTGAACGAGTTTCGGGTGAAAAGATAGTTTGATTTACCTGTGATCTGACGAAATATTATAAATATCATTATAAGTCCAAAATTTTGACAGAATATCAAACTAAACTTTTGTAATCCAGATTGCTGATACTCCCTTAAGCGAGGAGTGGTGTTGGTGATTATCTAATTCCGAAGATAAGATATGTTTATTCAGAAAAAATACGTTATTGTGCCTGATTTCGCAACTTAAAATGTCAAAATTTTTTTGACAGCTATGTTATGAGTGCTGTTAAAGGTGTTACCGTTAAAAAATTGCCAATTGTTATGATTTAAGTGTGTATGGTCATCTGTTAGTTACCATTAAAAATTTTAAAAGAAGATCATTAGTGTAAATTCTTTTACTCAAGAGAACTACTTTATATAAATGTATTTTGGTGGATAGAAATGTTTCACTTTCTTTCTAACTTTCAATTCGCCTAAAAAGTTTTTTCTCAATGGTAGACAAATATTTATTTCACTTTTCACCTTCACTTGAATAACAATAAGAAAGCCGTTATATGTATGTGTTTGAATGACCGAAATCGGTGGCTATTGACTTCCCCCGGTGTGAATGTTGACAATCACACGGTCGGTTTGGTAAATGTCTGAAATATATATTAGGTCTGTTTAAGCACCCGCTATACATTTGCCCGGTATGACCTACATTAATGTTTTTTAAAGTTATGTGTTACTGCCCAGTANGCGTTATATATATATATATAGATATATATATACAGAGAGAGAGAGACATTTCAGCACAGTAGGCAGCAAAAGTAGTAAAATTATTTTCATCTCTGTCGTGAGGTAAGATAGAAAGCTCATTTCAATTCTCATATGCTTATTCATGCTGTACTACTTCCTCACGCACCGCTGGAGTTGTAACTTGAATATCGTATATTATATATATGCCATTGTCCAAAAAAAAAACCAAGCTACCTCACCAATAATTAGTATGACTGTATGCGGAAACCGCAATATCGTTTATGTTTAAAATTTCTTCAGCCATTTTCGAAAGGATTAAAAGTAAATCGAAATAATTACCTTATAACTAAGTTTTTATTTCCATAAGAATATAGAATTATTTAAAATAAATATTTAAAGTGTGGAAATGCCTAAGCTGACGTCACTTCCCTTACCGATGCATTGGAAATCCATTAATGACCTATCAGTTAAAAATGCAACCAATAAGAGGATGGGATAGGAATATGTAGAATTTTTAGTTCTATTGATTGATTGCTATATTTTGATTTCTATTGAGATAGGAATAAGTATCGTCCTTTAGGAATTGTGCAAATGTTTGTGGAACACTGATCTAGTTATGCTGCTGAATTGGACATCTCTTTGACTAATATTTAAACAGCACTTAAATTATTACTGGAGACAACTTAATAAAATGAATAATAACTATTGTGATGCCAATAGATAGAAAAATACCCGAGTTTACTGTTCCATAAATATATATACAAAAGCAGAAGTTATTGTATTAAAAATAATTTTCAAGAACTTCAACAAACTGTTTTTATTGCAATGCCATTAAAATGGAGATTCAAAATAATACAAAGCAGATATAATGTATACATAACAGCAGTTTCTATCCACGATGAGCATGGAGTGTTTGTACATCTTCGGCATCGTTGTTGTGTGCTCCGGCAGTGCTAAGAATTTTGTCACCCAATTCTTTCACCTCTGTAATTATAAGCAAAACATATATTTTTAAAGGAAAAATATCCAAGATGTCTGTAATATGACATTTATTGGTTTTAAGTGAACAACTTACAATTAATAATTTCAGTAAGTTCAAATAATATTCAGTAAAATTAGAATTAGGTGGTCATATTTCTATTTTATAATTTATAAACTATTTGGTTTTAGTCAGATTTGATATAATCTCATTTTGTCATCGTATTAGCGTTTCAAGTAGAGCAGCTGACTTATTGCACCATAAGGCAGGGGAAACGTATGTTAGGATTGTTCTTATGAATAGATAGAAAACTATTATTCTAGGAATTCTTCTAGAGAAATTATATCTGAACCATCAACGTACTCTATAAGTTAAAATAGGGCGTTATTGCCATGAGATACAATATAGTTCTATTGGATCTGAGATTATGTTGTGTTTTGGTGTTGAATGTACAGTAGGCACCATTGACTTTTTTAATACTATTGGCTGACATGAATGTTCCAAGTTGGAATAGAAGTAATTGCAATACATAAGTATTTGGCGCTTTTAGATGGTTTAATATTTTAATTATGTAACTTACATCTGGTATTTTGGATCCTTTCGTCTTATTACTGGAAGCTAACTGTCAGGATATCGGGAACGTTACTGACTCCAGACTTCCATCTGGAGTCAGTAATTTTTTTTCTATAATTATTTTTCTGCATCGATGTATCTATATTTCGTTTGTAAGTTAAGAAAAAGCCATTTCGTCATCTGTAACTGCAGATAGTTCCATTTTGTTCAATTATCAAATCTTATACTCAAAAATTTTAAATTGTAGATGATGGTAAAGAATCAACATGAGGGAACGTCATGATTGCAATTTATGCAAAGAAATTTTTTGCTTTAAATATGAATACCTTGAAATGTAAGTCCTCGTGATAGTTACGTTTTATTAATGTAAGCAAATAAGCAAAATGAGCTATAATAATGATTTTAATATTAGCTATAATGATGATATTAATGATAGCGTTAATATTATTATAGCGTTTTATTAATGTAAGCATTAATAAGCAAAAATGAATTGAGTTTTTACCACTTTTTACATTTTTAGTCGCATGTGGTATTCTTGTACTTGCAGACTTGTACAGTCAGTGAAAGAGATTTTACAAAGTGGTAGTATAACAACAATTACGTTTAGAAGCATTTTGTAAAAACAAAACTATTAAGACATTTAAAAGCATAATCAGTTAACAAATCGATATTTTCAATGTGTATATATTTTTTTTTTCTTAAATTATTAATTCATCGTGGTTGCTTAATTTTTTTTGAAACTTTAAACTTCAAGATTTAATACACCATAACCACTTAGAAAACTATTTCTCAACGGCCGTACAAGTTGGCAGCAGTGAATATCTAATAAATGTTCGTTGAAAATGTAACTACAGATATTTTTTATTTTGAACTATTCAGTGGCGACTTAAAAAAATCAAACTATTATTAGCCCAACCACAAATAAACTGTTAAGAAAAACTTTGACTACCAGTTTCATATTTTTTACTCTGATTGTCGCTACTCAGTAAGTGCTTTTATGATTCCGCCCGCTTGAGCGTATTTGCGCTTTTGACAACGGTATTTATTTGCTATCAAGAGAAGTGAGGTATTGGTATTTGAGTACTTTCTACCTAAAATAACACGTTCTAAAAGTAAATTTGTTAAAAGTTACTTATCTCCTAATATTGAATTTAGAGCTTTGAAAACTTTGTTATTACATTACAAAAATTCAAAATGAAATTTTTTTGAATTAAACTTTATGTATTAGTAATAGAAACGAATTAGAAATTCATTATTATATTAACTTGCTTTAAGTAAAATGTTAAAAAATTAATCAAATTAGGATTCTTAATAAAATAAATTATATATGATTAAACTGATAAATTATGAATCAAAACGCTCTTCGACAATTATACTTACGTCCTAAAACTCCCAATTGTGGATCTGAAAAAAACATTAATAAATTATAATATCATTTTATATATAGTAAATAATATGTCCAAAAATTAAGCAAATAATTTAGAATTTCTTACCAGCCATTGCGGAACCTACGATAAAAAGAATAGTACCGGTTACACATCATAAAAAAAGCTTATTCTATGTTTTAATTCAAAGTGTCTATTATAAGATTCACCACGCATCTTAAAAGAATTCACATTAGGCATTTAATTAACTCCTTGCAGCCTAAAACATATATGATTCAATAAAATATCACGAATAGGTGCAAAATTTGTTGTTTAATTAAAATCGTTTTGTCTGGACTCATTTTATAGATATTGATTTTAATTTCATCTTTTATTATTGAAACCTGTTTCTAAAACAAATAAACTAAAAAATACAAGCAGTTATTGATAATTTTCTTAGAAAAATAAATTTTTTAAAGAGTGTTGAAACAAATTTGTACATTTTGTTATGTAACGTAAAACGGCTCAAGTAAAATAAAGAGTGAAAAATTTGTTACTTTATCAGTAAAAAGTATTTGATATTTATATCCATCGTTGAAAAGTGGATCACATTTTTGAATTTTCTTCTCTTTTTATTTTAAAAATTATTTCTGGCTTCCATATGAAGACAAATGGCAGTAATAACAATTTCTGTAGCTGTACCTTTTGAAAAAGGCTTACATGAGTGTCACTGTCTTCTTGAGATACCTAATTAGCGAACAGTTTCTTTCTGTGTAAAATCTGGAAGAATAATTCAAAAATAATAACATTTTATATTAATCATGAACTGTTCAGCCAAAAGATGACGATTACAGTTTCATCAGCGTAAAATGCAATAATACTGTTAAAATCATGTCTGTCCATAGGAAAGTCGTAGATGAATAAAGTAAATAGTATGGGTGGGTCCAAGTATACTTTCTTGAGCCCTTCCTTGGGCCTCTGATCTGTCCAATTATATTCTGATCTGTTCCATTGACAAAGACGTTTCAATTGTAAAAGTTTCAGTAGATAGCATCATCTACCAAATAAGTTCAGATTCTATAGCGGTATAGATAAATAGCGTTTTTTTTTCAAACTGTAACCCCTGGATAACTGTGTTCGAATCCCAGAGATGGTTGGTCAAGGCGAATTCGGCACCCGTCTCGCACCAAACACAGTGCTGACGTAAAATATCACCAGTAATAGACGGATCACGCCATAAGCTAACAGCTGAAGGTTTTCATTGTTTTCCTCTCCATGTAACGCAAATGTGGGTTAGTTCCATCAAAAAGTTCTCTATGAAGGCAGATTTCTCTCAATACTTGATCCAGGAGTTCCCTTGCCTTTTGGATTGGGTTCAAAAATACAATGCTATGGAGTTGAAGATTGGTAGTTGTAAACCTAAAAACTGAACCGTCTTTTCAACATAAGTTATTTAAAAAAAACTCTACCTTCTAGAGGCAGGATCTAAAAATTATTTTTCTAAGTTGCAAATTTCAGAATATTAGTTTCATGGCACCGGTTTAGAGATGCCGTCATAGAAATTCGAACTTATGCTGCTTATGACCATCCTAGTACTCACCAGGTTATGTTCTTTTCTTAAAAAATTTGTAACTCTATTCAATTGTTTTTTCTTCGACGGTGCTTATGTAATGTACATGAGGTCTTGAAGGAGATATAACTTCTGGGTGATTGTTAGCATAGTAGTAAAAAATAAGCTGGTTGTTAATATATTTCTTTTAAAATATTATCTGCTAATGTGAGAATATTGGTAATTTTCGAAAGTAGTAAAATTTATGAAGTTATTGTTTACTATAAGAGCTGACCAGGTGGCCGAGTGGTTAGCGTGCCTGACGGCGGAGCCGATGGTTGCGGGTTCGAATCCCGCTCAGAGCATGGATGTTTCTTTCTCTCTCTGTGCGTTCTATGTCCTTTGTGTGTGTGATTGTGTGAATGTGACCCACCCTATAAAGGGGTTTGTGGTTGTGTGACGTGAGCGACGCTGCTCCACCGCCTTGGCCTCGCCACAGGTGCCCCCTGGGTAACGAGAAGAGAGTAGCAGTTCTGGCATTCCTGAGACCAATGGGTCAATGTCCCAAGTGCCCGCCATTGAAAAAAACAATTATTATAAGAAATTGAAGAATTTTTTTATAACTAGGTACATTATCTATTTTATGAATTCAGCTTTTTTTATAAATAACTGGTACATACTGATTAAATTAATGCATTTTACATTGACAGTATAATACTAGATATAATCTTTTAAAAGAATGAACTTACCCAATATTGCCAAAAGGGCAAATACAACAAGGACAATGCAAAGTTTAGAATTCATCTTGCTAATATCGTTACTATTTGAACGAGTGTGTTTTTTTCGAGTAAAAACCTGCCTATTTATACTGAAACTGTTAAAAGAAAAATAATAAAACCTAATTGATTTTTGTACGTTAATTATTCTAATATTCTTTTTTTATGTTAGCGTATTTTTTTATTGTCAGCTGTAAAAAAATATGCTATGATTCTACATCAACGCTAAAAGCATAAAACTTTTTTATCTACTATTGTATATTTCTAAAAAGAAATTATATTTTATGTTGGTATTAAAAGCACGTAATGATCAATTGAAAACACATAATTAAATCTAGAACAATTCTGTAACAGTAGGAATTTATTCATTTTTTATTACAATATAAAAAATAATTAAACATTTAGACGTTCCCAGGAATTAGAATTTTTATGTTCTCTTTTATCTATAATATCTTAGTCATATGAAATAAATCTCAAATCTAAGATTTGTTATTTGTTAAAACTTTATTTCCTTTTTTCAAAGCGTAAAATTAATTTGAAGTTTAGCTTCAGTTTAAAGAATTAAAAAAAAATTATGAAGATAAAATTTTGTTTAATACGATAATTAAACAAAACTATAATGTATTTTTTAATATAATTATTTTATTATAATTTAATATTTAATTTATTACAATTTCTCCAATGCATGGCGAACTCGGGTGGTAGTATATTTTATAAGGCATTTTTTTTCCCAAAACAATACGTATTTTCAAGAGATAGCATATATTGCTTAAAACTTGGTAGTCAAGCCTCATACTGCTGGATTGTTCCGCCATCACAATTTAAGTTTGCTTTGTTCGCTATTGATTTTTAGTCTAGCTTTGTATATATGTTATACTCATATATGGCAACGTTACTTTTAAAAAGTAACGAGTAAAAGTACAAGTATTTTTAAAAAAAGTAAAGTCAAAAGTAAAAAGTTTTTATTTTAAAAAGTAACGAGTAAAAAGTACAAGTAAAAGTACAAGTACTAACAAAAAAAGTAACGATTTATAAGTACATTTCTAGGAAATCGAAATTTCAAAGTAACCTAAAATTTTATTGAATAATATTCTTATGTTCTTTAATGTTTTTGCAAAATTGTTGTTATTTATTTAATTATTTTTAATTTTGAAAGTTATGGACATTAATTTATTTTTAAATTCGGAAGAATATTATAATATAAT